GTAAATAATTAAAAACAAAATAATGCCCAGAGAGTATAAATGAGGTATACTTAAAAAGCAATTTGGATTCAACCCATGCAAGATGCCTTCTTCCAACCTTGTCTGGTCTACTAGGAATGTTATTAAGATGTGGGGTAATGATTGTGCTTAAACATTTTAGTAACTTTAGCAAAATATATGTTTTGGTAAGTAAGAATTCTGAAGGATGATATAAGCAAGTTCCACATTAATTTTTTAAATGAAAGCAGGTAACATTCAAAAGGGAACTAAATGCTTTCATTAATAATTTTGTTTGAAATGTTGCTTCTGTTCTCTGTATTTTTGTACTAGAGACATTTCTGGCCCAGTGCATCCATCCTGATTTTGAAGGTGCAGTAGCTCCTGCTAATACGTAAAGTGGTTTGGTTTCTACCCCTAGAGTTTCTCAGAGTGCAACTTAAGACTTCTTTCTGGTTTAGTTGATTCCCTAGTGACGTATCTGTCTATACAATCTCTACTCCCCTCTCTCTAGTCCTGCTTTCTTGAAAGGTCATTTAATGTTCTGGGTGGACTCAGGTGGGAGTTAATTCCAGAACAGTTCAGGGGCTGCTTTTCATAATAGGCAGCTTACGTTCATGTAAACATGTTTCCCAGGAGCTGAAGATTGGCTTGTTTTGGTGAACTTTTTTGTTGCTATCCTAGTTGTCCCCTTGATATTCAGAAGCTTGAGACCCTGATAGCATATGATCCTTAAAACTGCCTACTTTCTCGGGCTCCAAGCTCCCATCTGTCATCTTTGATTGCTGCAAAATCATTTGGAGGGGAAAACTTTAAAATAAATGAATCTTTAGACCTAAAAGCTTGACAAAAATAGAGTATGGATTACAGGTGGTAAAACCCCTACAGTTTCCTTATAGTTCTTGCATGTTTTATTACAGAGTGGAGAAAAATTAAGGGGAATTTAAAAGTACTTTCCTTGGGATTGTTTTCATTATGGGTGATATTAATAGGTAATCCCCCCCCCAAAAAAAATTGGTGGGCTAATCCCATTCCCTTGTTTGTTTTTAAAACTCAGTGATTCTCATACAATTTAGTTTAATCACAGTGATGATGGGAAAACTTGGAGTAGACAGTGGTAATAAATGTGCCTGCTCTCATGGTTGCATAGGCAAGAGGCATAAGTCACCTGTTTCCCAGTACAAGGTTCTCTCTGTTAGAACACGCTGTTAGTCTCCATTTTCAGGAACACTCTCTGACTAGACAGCATCATGTCCTCACAGCCCCATAGTGTTCAAATTCTGTGCAGAATTATGACTGCTGGAGAAAAGTGTGTGCTTACACACTACATCCTGTACTCTACCCTGTGACTTATTTTACAAAATGATGTATACAGTAAAAGTGACCACCCGTGCTTTTCTAGGCATGTCATGTTTAAGTATATTAGTTTCAGTTGAAGTGAATAAGTACCAAGTCTAGCCAAAACACCAATCTTCTCAGGGAGTACAGCCAGAGGGCTCCACATATTTACATACAACATTCATTTAGGAAATATCCTGAAACATATGACTTCACAAAGTATTTTATCATTTATATTTTTAATTAAACAATAAAATATTTTATAAAAACACAGGCTGAAAATTCTTTTCCAATTGAGTTTTGTTAGTTGAAGTAGTCTATAAATTAAGGCATGTTTAAAGCACATTTTAAAAAATCATAGCATTGTCTTAAGTAAACTTAAATTACTTTCTAATGTTTCTAGTCATTTTCCTGTTTATAAATACAAGCTTTGCTTATATAATCTGTATAACTTACTGTGTAGGTTGTCAAACTGTCTAGTATTTTATTTTTGAGCAATGCATAATTATATCTGTATTGTAAATAATCAAAATATTGTAAAAAAAAATCCCTAAAGCTTTCTTGTCCATTTGTCTCAGTTCTTTTGGTTCTGTGCCTCAGATAACCCTGTTTTAACATTGGCAAAGGCTGTTTCCATTTTTTCTAAAGTTTTAATTAGTATACTGTTCTGTAGTTGTGTTAAAATACTATGGCCAAAAGCAACTTAACAGAAGAGTTTATTTTGCCTTACAATTCCACAGGGACAGAGTCTACTGGAGGGAAAGACATCCAACAGGCAGACTTGGCAGGAGCAGCTAGGAGAGCATGTCTCAGTTATACACAGGAAACGGAGCGAGAACATATAGCAAGGCTATAAACTCCCAAAGCCTTTGCCCAGTGACATACTTCCTTTAGCAAGTGTTAAAGGTCCTATAACCTCCCCAAACAGCCCCACCATTTGGGGACCAAGTGAGCCTATAGGGGAACGTTTCTCATTTAAACCACAACAAGTACATAAGTATGTATATTAGATGATACACAAACTCAGGGTTTCATGTCATACTTGCTGATGTGTAAGCTACGTCTTGCCTTTTCTTCTTGATAAGCCTTAACATTCTTTTCAAGCCATGACATAGAAATCTGTTTTATCTACAACATTAGGATTGACTTCATCCATCACATGGATTTACTTTAATAAAATAAATTCTTGCTTTGTTTGGCTTTGTTATAACATTCCATAGGACCCCATTTTATTTTATTCTTCTTTTAATAATAGATATGTATGATAATATATTGGTTGTGAAGGCTATCTTTTTCTAAATAAAATACTGTATTACTTAAAATATTTAAAAAGACACCTATTCTTTTTATACTAGTGTTTATATTAAATATATATTTGACATATAAAAATTACTTATTGTATGTGCACAAGTCATATATTTGTAACATTTGAAACATTTGTAAACTACCCAAAGTCTCAAAAATAGTTCATGAGTTCACAGATAACTTGATTCTCCCAATTTTGTGCTTTGTATAGCTATGGTACAATATAAATTACAAATTAATATTGGTACAATACTATTGATTGACCTCCAGATTTTATTTGACTTCATCATATTTCTAGTCGTCATTTTTCCTAGTTCAAAGTTGAGTCTAGAATGTCTGCTGTTCTAGAGTTGACAGTTTCTTCAGCCACTGACAATTTCTCAGTCCTTGCCCTCATGACTTCTAGCCTTGTGAAGAATTCTGGTTGTTTCAAAGACTGTCTTGCAGTTTGAGTTTGTCTGACATTATTTGTATTGAGATTATCTTTGTAGGAGGAGGGAATGCCACATAAGTGATGGACCTTGTCAGGGTGTCTTGAGGTGTACATGATGACATCTGCTTGTACTAGTGAGGGTATTCTTGTTTTCTCAGTGTTTTTCCTCTAAGCTCATTGCCTTTTATAGATAGTATTTTGGGCAGATAACTTGAAACCGTACATGTTTTATTTTCCCTGAAACCTTCACTTATCTTTAACACAACTATTTCTCTTTCCTTTATTCTTTCTGCATTTATTAATTAAAAATCCTCTGTGAGGAAGGGGTTTCTTCTCTCTTTTATTTATCTGTTCAAAGGACATGCTCGGTTTTGTTTCCTGGGTTATAATCTCAGACATTCAGCCTCTCATATTTGTCTGTCAATGTAGAGAAAACTAGAGAGTGGACTACATCAGAGGTAGTCAACTGGAAGAAAGGGAGATGTCTGAGAGCAGTGGATACATATGCGCACTGTATGAGAATCACATGAGGGTAGTTTCCGCAAGAGGGACTCCCAGATGAGTGCCATGTGGCCACAGCACACAGACAGAGAGGGAACTGGACCAGAGAGCTCTAGGAAGCCTGCCTCTTGGCAAAAGTCAGAAAAATTCATGCGAGGAACACAGAACACAGACAAGAAAAAGGAGACCATTATAATTCCATCAGTAAATATTAAATGCAACCTGACATAATGTGGATTCAGCAGTGAAGATGACAGAAATACTGAATGTAACTTAATAACAAGTGCTATTTTAACAATATTGGAAAGATGAGGAAAAGGTTTTGCGGGGGGCAGCTGTGGGTTTCTCACAGTGTCTAGGAAGATATTTTTTTTTTTTTTTTTTTTTTTGCTGCTCCACCACAGTGTCCATTTTCCTTTCCACTTTTGTAGCAGAACTGTTAATAAACTTGGAGGTCAGTCTTCCCAGTTCAAGGACTTAACGTCATCCAGCTTTGCTTGAAGCTAAGTGTAACCATGTGCTTTAAGTGCATGAGAAGTAGTCAGGGGTTCTTTGTGAAGATTGATTTCAAAAGCATCATTCTCTTGCTGCTGCTGCCCTGAAATGTGGATGTACTGGTGTCTCTGTCACCATAAGAATAAAGTAAGCTTTACTTGTGCATGGGAAACCAGAGAGTAGGATGGGCCATGGGGTCCTGAAAACATTACATACTGTTATACCAGCACATTTTGTTTGTTTCATGAAATGTCTTCCTCTGTACCCATGACAGGCCTAAAACTCACTGTAAAGAGCAGCTCTGTCTCAAACTTGATGTGATCCCAGCTTCCTGAGCTGTGGGAGTATAGGTGTGGGCCACCATACCCATGTTTCATGAGAAACTGTGTATGTGTGTGTGTGTGTGTGCGTGTGTGTGATAATCTTCAAGTCTTAGTTATATATAGCAGAACCATTTCTTAACTGATTTATATCTAAATTAAAATATTAAGAAATAATATAAACATAAAAATAAATAACAATTTAGTGGCATAAAAATAAATACTAGTGGGAACAGGAAAAAAATGAAAGCAATTGCCTTTGGTAGTGGGAATTGGGATAAAAGCAAATGTTACTATTTTTTCTTATACTAATTTCTGTAATATTTAACATTTTAAATTATATACATCATTAATAAAAGTAAATGAACTTTTTTCTATTTTAATTAATATGTATATATTTACTTCCCACCTATAAATGCTTCTCTTTTCACCTGGAGTAATAACTAGTATTGCTTTCTGCATATTCTTATATACAATAATTTTCTTAGTATAGTATATATAGTTTTCTTCATTTATTTATTTTTATTAAATTATATTCAATTTTAAATTTAAAATGATATTTATTATGCAATATTGAAACATGCAGTGGTATTATTTGTTTATATTTTTAGAGTTCAAGATGCAAACATACAGCTAAAAAAGCAACAAAATGAACTTCAGAGAGTACAGAAAGAATTAGGTCATCTACAACTTGAGTCAAAAATTAAACAAAAACAATCTCAAGTCTTCAGGTAAGATTATCTTTAAGAACTGAAAATTATAAATATTAAAAACATATAGCAAATGCTTACTTTGTGAATTCAAACATTTAATAATATGGCTTCTCATCTTGAAAAAATGGAAATAGCTTCATTTTCTTATTGTTATATCAACTGAATTGTTTTACTAATAAAATGTAATTGAGCAAACAGCTAGTTCTGTTAACACCTTGTCTTTGTTCTTTCTCTGTAGTGACATTTAAAATGAAAGCATAGTAGTAGCTAATGCACTTTTTGTGTGTACAGTGTGGTGATTAGTGTGTCCATGCATGTCCGTGTGCGTGTGCACATGTTTATGTCTTCCTCTACTGTTGTCTACTGTGTTTCTGAGACTGGTCTTCTTACTAACCCAGGAGCTTACATTTGGCTAGACTTGCTGACCCCAGCTCCATCCAGGGATCGTCACGCCTCTACCGTCCCTAAGCTGGGTTTCTGGCCGCGTAGCATCAGGCTGGCCTTTTTACATGAGTGCAGATGTGCATCTGAGCTGAGGGCTCATGGTTGTGTGCAAGCTCTTTACCTGGTCAGCAGCCTCTCCACTTTCCTCTTGATTAATAATAGTTCTTGGTCATTTGATCTAATAGAACAGAAAAAATTTCTATGAGATAATACAGGCCCTTAAATTTGAAACTCTCCAGCAAAATAATGTTAATTTCCTCCGATAGAATCTCTGGAAGGTTTATAATGCATAAAGATAAAATCTAGTGTCCAAAAACCAACCAACCCAGCCCCCCTACCCCCCCAGACCTAGGAAATCAATGCCATTCTATATACTGAAAACCTCATAAAAATGAGTCCTTATTTTGTGTCAGTTAACTTTTAGTACTTAGAAAAAGAAAAATAGTTAAATTTATATGATAAATGACACCAATTCATGATAACTAAAAAAGATGCTGGATAAGTAATTGGATGTTGGGTTTTTGTTTTTAATCTACTCTAATACCACAGTTTTTAAAATCTTCTGATTCTTTAATGTATCTGTTGATAATCTGCTGGGCACTTATCTTCCTTTTATAAATTCCTTATGTATAACTCATAGTCAGTAAAGAATTGTTGAATAGATGCATGAAGAAAGTCTGTTCATACCTTTGTGCACGCATGTGTGTGTGCGTGTGTCTGTCTGTCTGTCTGTCTGTCTGTCTGTGTGTCTGTGTGTCTGTGTGTCTGTGTATCACATGCATGTGGTTTCCCCAGAGGCATTATATTCCCCCTGGTTCTGGGATTATAGATGGTTAGGAGTTAACATGGATGCTGAGGAATGAATCTGGGTCTTCTGAAGAGCAGCCAGTTCCACTAACCACTTATTCATTGCTCCAGTCCCCCAGATGAACATTTTTACCATTAAAATTCTTCTTGGCCCATTTTAAGAAAGTCAATAGTGAGCCAGCAGATTAATAGCACCAAGCAGCTCTGACTGCCAGTTGCTTGGCTCCTGAAGTAGCCTTGGCCTATGTCTGGAACCAAGCACATAAAGATGTCTGGCCTCTTTGTAGTTAAAATAATGAAATAGAAGACATTTGGCACTGCGGTATACTTAAGTGTACTCTCACTGTTTTCATATATGAACAAATGTGTTGAAGGCTTCCTTTCACTTTCAAAGTTACTTCCATTAAGCAGTGGATTATATGATCATGATAAGCAACTTTTGAAGAAATATGTGTTGTTGTGCTTTTTGTGTTTAAAAATCCTAATTTTTTGTTTTACTAATTGCAGTCAAAGATTGTCAGAATACAAATACTTCTGGAATAAGACTCTTTTATTACTTACTTTTACTAAAAGGGAACTAGCAAGTATTAAATATGAAATATATGATAATTTTCAAAACTGGACTTCACTGAAAGGAGAAGTTTTTCTTCAAATTAAATCTATAAGTGATACAGCTTTGGCAGGTTTGTTACATATATTTACAGCCTAATTGCTTTGTCTGTAACTGGTACGTCATAGTTTTGCAGTCATAGTATTTCCTTGTCTTTTGGGACTTAGGGTCCACTTTTAAGCTGATTACTAGTTGGTAATGTAAATAAACATTAAGGCTCATTCCCTTTCTGGAATTCTGCAGTTATATACTGATCTAACATAAGCTACAGTACACCTAGTTTAAGCTATAGTCAAAAGTCTAATCACTCTTGTTAAGCATATGGATTTGTTTAAAACTTTTCTCTCCATCCCAATGGCTGAGCAGTATGGTTAGATCAGCCTCCCCTAAATACTAATTATAAATACTAAACAAAGATTCATTGCTGAGAGACTGGAACCAAGCACATATAGGTGGAATTGTTGAACATTAAAGAAGATATTTACCCCATAAAAAAATGCCAGTCTGAAAAAGCAGCATGGTGTATTACATCCATGTGACTGTTGGAAAGAGAGAACTAGAAAACAGTGAACTTGCGTGGCTAATGGGTTAGGGACAAGGATGAATGAACACATGACACACAGGAATTTTAAGATGTGGAAATTATTCTCTAGGATGTGAAGTGGCCCATTCACATCATTATGCATTTGCTAAAACTTACAGAATATACAACACTAAGTGTGACTGCTAGTAGAAATGGTGAGCTCTGACTAAAAATAAAATGTCGCAGTTGATTGTCTTGAACTGGATACACCACTGTGGTAAAGGACGCAGGTGAGAGGAGGCTGGGGGTGGGGCAGGAGGTGTGTAAGAGCTCTGCTTTCTCCTCACTTGTACTGTGGACCTAAAACTGCCTTAAAGAGTGTTAAGATCATTTTAAATATTGAAAAGAATACGGAGCTTGATACATTCCTTTCCTTTTTTTATTTTTTAAAGGCCAATAGACTGAGGTCAGGATACTGTTTATTCTGAATAAAAGCAAAAGGTATGAAAAAAAAAAAGTGTTCTTTTAAACCTGAGGACGAGAGGACAAAGATGAAGGCAGACCCAGCCTCTGGGAATAGCCAGGTGCAGAGACAGTGGGGAGGGAAGATTCTGCATGGAATGAATGCCTTCCAGATCTCGAGTTTCTCTCTGGAGAACATGCGTCCAAGCAAGACTCAGCAGCCCAAATAAGACAAAAATGACTTATAGTTTAACAGACACCTTCCCTGAGAACAGCCTTTGTAGTTTGAATGTAGCTAAATTGCCTGCTCATTAAACCAGAGTAGAACCAAAAAAAAAACTTTAAATAAATAAAAAATTATGTGCATGAATATTCTCTATGAATATCTGGCACCATTTTGTGTGCCTGGGGCCCAAGAAATCTAGAGAGGGCTTTTCATGCCCTGAAACTAGTTATAGACAACTGTAAGCCACCATGTGGGTGCTGGGAATCAAATCTGGGTCCTCTGAAAAAATAATCAATGTTCCTAACCACTGAGCCTTTTCTCCAGCCCCCTTAATACTCTTCTGAGGAAGCAAAATAGAACCCAGTCTCTGTAAGGTATCACTCACACTGTTCAGTATACAATTTCAATATCTTAATATTTCTGGAACGAATATTTAAAATATGGTCCACATTTTCCCAAATAGAGCAGTTGTTACAGAACAAACCTGAATTGCACTGGGTGATTTGTGGGAAGGTGTAACCCTTCCTCTCTTACTTACTGTGCTCTGCAGACATTGTATCTTTTATACATGGAAAGATTCTGGCCGCCCTGGTAAGTCTCTCTGGGTCATGTTTCTAATGACATCTGCTCACTTTGGAAAGCACACAATCCGTCACATTTTGGTAATTCTTAGAATAATTTATTATTTTATCTGCAAACAGTGTTACTATTATAACTGTTTTATGACACTATGAACTACACCCATATAAGAAGGTATACTTAGCTTTAACAAATTTTCTGTGTTCTGACTGCATCAAAAACAGCCATTCTCGTGTCTCTCACTCACTTTTGGCCCTTCCTAAAGCAGATATCAAAATTAGACCAATTAATGACCCTACAGTGGATGCTAAGTGCTGGAGAAAATGCTAAGAGTGGTAAATCTCTTTCCTTTAGATCAAGAGCCGAGATGATTAAGCTTAGTGAGGAAGTCAAAAGCTAAGACAGGTCAAAAGTTAGGCCTCTAGAACTGACGGATTTCTCCATCTTGTGAAAGCAAAGGGAAGTTCTTGAGGGAATGAGGAGTGCTGCTTCAGTGAACATACAGAAGAGAGGAAAGACAACTTTGTTACTGATGTGTTACTGATTAAGCTTTCACCATGAACATTCTCCTAAATTAAAGATAATTTGGAGAAAATCCCTGCTATAGATTCATGAAGGTTGAAAAAAGTGAGAAGCTACAGGAGAAAAAAATGTAAGCTTGAAGAAGTTAGTTCAGGAGGCTTAAGGAAGAATGTCTTCATAAGATATGCGTGCAAGACAAAGCCACAAATGCTGACTTAGAAGCTGCTTCAAATTGTGTATACATAAAACATCTGCTTAAGATCATTGATGAATATAGCCTCTTTCGGGAGCAGAGTTTCTATCTCGAGTCAGCCCTGGAACTCTCTATGTAGCTAAGAATGGGCTTGAACTTCTGGTCCTCCCTGGAGCATCATCACACTTGGTCTTTAATACCAGGCTTTTTATGAAACAGCTTTATGCTAGAAAAGGACTCCATTTAGGACTTGTCATAGCTAGAGAAGACACCACGGGGCTTCAAAGGTTCAAAGGACAGGCTGACTCTCTTGTTGGCGCCAATAAAAGCTGACTTGATATAGAAGCCCCCTTTTCATCTGTCATCCTCAAATCCTGGGACTCTTGAGAATTATATGAAGTCTATTGTGCCTGTTCAGTATAAATGGAATAGCCAAGCCAGGATGACAGCACATCTGTTTACAAAGTGGTTCACTGACTTTTTAAAGCCTACTTTTGATGACTGTTGCTCAGTAAAATGATCTCACCCTGGTGGTGCATGCCTCCTGCTCTAGCTATGGGAATGCCTGGGGGTGATAACTTTATTCAAGGAATTCAGGGCTATCTTGGGTAGCATGCTGAGATCCAGTCAAAGGAAAAACAAATTCCTTTCAAAATATAGCTTCACTCAAGAGCTGTGATGGAATTTAATGAGGTTAGTAATGTTTTCATGCATGTTAACTGACACCAGCCATTTTACAGCTTATGGATTGGGGATTTTGACTTCAAGTCCCACTATCTGTACACTTAATAAGTTTATTTGCAGATATTATTTATTATCAAGGATGGTGGTTTCTCCAATTCATTTGGGCATAGTAAATTGAAAACCACTGGAAATGATTTACTGTAGATGTCATTAAGATTAAACACTATCATTATGATTCACCATATAGACCTCATTAAGAGCATTCATGATTCATGTTAAAACAGCAATATTGACAAGAATTTAGAAGAAGTTGAATGTAACCAGCATGGCTTTGAAGGCTCAATGCATTAGTGGATAAAGTAGTTGTAGACAATGTAGAAATAGCAGTTGACCTACTTTACTTCCTGTTGCTGTGATAAACACAATGATCAAAGCAACCTCAAAAGGAAAGGCCTTATTTCATTTGATAGCTTACAACTTCTTAGAAAGGGAAGGAATTCAAGGCAGGACCTCCTGCTGGGGTGGCCTTAGTGATGCAGCTGTCTTTGGGTCATTTCTGTTACTGTACGAAACCCATGTAAAACTCATGAATCATCAGTGTGGACTTTGGTGGTATCTGTTCTTTGGTGTGCCGTAGCCTTCCTATCTGGAGTGACTAGAAGTGTGTGTAACATCTCCCCTTAAGAAATTTGGTCACACAGCAACCACTGAAACTTGGTGAAAGAAAAGAGCCAAGTTAAATCACAATAAGCTGCTTCCTTGCAAGAGACAGGGTCTGCAAATGAACTCTTTAAGCCAGGAGATCTCCACAGGGAAGCAGGCTGGGGTGCTGGGAATCAGTACTCAGCTACAGGTCTGGCTTCTGGCTTCAATGACCATCTGGCTGAATCAAGCTACTCTGGGGAGAGGAGTCAAAATCTGAGGAAAGTGGCACTCTTCACATAGAGAGCAGGCCTGCAGCATCAGAAGGCAAAGTGGAGTGCATGAGTCTGAGGAAGCTGCCAGAAAAGAACTTACAACCTCTCCTTTACCAACATGCCAGTACTACATGGGACACCAAGGCTACAGAGGGAATGGCTCCTGATTGACACAGCATCATGTGGGTCCTGCATGAATGACAGCAATCTAGGAAGGTGACTTTTCAATTCAGCTGTGTCAGTGATTAACTCCACAAGTATTCGTTTTATTTCTGGTTTCTTAATTTCCAGCTTACTTTTGTTTGTTCATTGTTCAGTTAGTTTTTGAGATTATTCTGTGTTTCCTTGAGGAAATCAAGAAGTTTAAAAAGTTCCTGGAATTGAATAAAAACAGCAAAGTAAAACCTATAGGATACAGTGTAAGCAGTTCTAAAAGGAAAATGTGTAAACACACGTATATGTATATATATATTAATACATAAACATACACAGACATACATATGTTAAAAATCAGAGAGTTCAGGTAAGTAATGATCCATCTTAAGGATTTGGGAACAAACCAAATCAAAAGTACTAGATGGGAAGAAATTATAAAGACCAGAGGAGAAACTAATGAAATAGAAGTGGGGAAAAAAAAAGGAGGACTCAATGAAATAAGGAGTTGGGTTAAGTGTGGTGGCACATAGGCACATCTCTATGAGTTTGAGGCCAGCCTGGTTTACGTAGCAAGTTCCAGACCAATCAAGATATATAATGAGACCCTGTCTTAAAAAAAAAAAAACCCACAAAATAAAGACAAAATAATTGTTTAGCTTAGTCAAGAGAAACAGAGAAAAATACCCAAATTAATAAAATAATAAAATTAGAGATGAAAAGCAATACTTTAGAACAAAAAGCAATGAAATTCAGAATCATAAGGACATACTTTAAAAACATATAGTCCACTAAATTAGAAAAACTTGAAAGA